GTAATAAAATCAATATGCTATTTATGAAAATTAACCTAAAATGTGAGTTTGTAAGTTGAAAGTGAAAGAGCACATTAAGGTAATTGATTAGAGGATCAAGAGTGAATTGTATACAGTAGGAGTAATTTTTCATGAAACTTATTTCAGTTTATCTGCATGGGTATGTACATAGAAACTGATTCATGATATAAAATAGATTTCTTATTTTGAGTTGTGGTTAAAAAAGTCTGGGGGACTTCTGGTCAAGGTAGAGGAGTAGGTAAATGTGGCTTACCTCCTTGCACAACCACATCAAAATTACAACTAAAATATAGAACAACCATAACTCAGAACTGTCCAAAATTGAGTTGAATGAAAGACTGACAACTACAGAATTAAAGAAACCACATTCATCTAGATGGATAAGAGACAAGGAGATGAGATGTGGAATGGGCTGGTCCATGTGTAGTGGATACAATTTGGGAGAAATATCTCAGGAGCGAGGAGTCCCAGCCCCATACCATGCCCCCAGCTCATAGTCCCAGTGCCAAGAGATAAGTACCCATGACTTCTGGCTACAAAAAACAGTGGGGAATTGAGTTGGTGGAAGAAACTTCTGTAGTCCCAAACAGTTGCTCTTCAGGAACCTACACACGGACTTACTCAGATTCACTCCCTCTGGGCTCCAGCACTGGACTGGTGTAGCAGCTTGAAAGGTACCAGTGGCATATGGGGAGGAATGGAAGTGTCTGGCATCATGGCGAGAGCAGGGGAACAGCTTACTCCCAGACAGAAAAGCTGGCAGAAGCCATCGTCCCTTTTCTGAACCCTTCCCCCGACAGAGCCATGACACCTGCAGGTGGGTGCCATATCTGAGACTCCATCAAACTGGCAAACACTGTTTGCCCTGCCCTGGAGATCCCCTGAGACTCTGCCCCACCCAACTTCCAGGCCCACCCAAGCTGTTAAGAGTGGTTTTTCCATATGAATGGCTGGTCTTGGCTCATGCTTCACAAGTTCTTAAATCCTCTCAAACAAGTAACAGCCAGCCCCCCCCCCATACCTCTTGCTAAGGGGCCCCAGGCATGACTCTAGTAGCAGCCAGCCTAGGTTCACAGCTTGGCTTCTCCTGGGAAACTTTAAGCCCAGCACAAGTCAGCAGCCATCTTGGATTGATTCACAGCTTATGCAATGTGGCCCCAGGCAGAACATAGGTGGGGGCTGACCTTGGCCTGCACCACCTGGGAAACCCTAGAGCCTAAAAACCCAGTTGATGGCTATAGACCATTTTGGCATACCACCCTGACTGTGCACAACCGATCCTCCATAGAGGTGGTGGTTGGTGGTCAGTGGTCACAGCTGGTCTTTGAAAGTAACTGGCCTGGGTAATTCCCTCCCATTGATCTGCTAATAGCAATCAAGGCCTCAATGACAAAAGGAGGGTGTACTCAGCCTACGTGAGGGGTGCACCTCAAATACCCAGCTCAGGTGATAGGGGAGGCTACCACTGGGCCCTACATGACACCTATTATATTATTTCATGTTAGGTAGAGCTATGTATTAGCTCTACCTAATACATAGAAACAAACACAGGGAGGCTGATAAAATGAGGAGACAAAGAAACATGGCCCAAATGAAAGAACAGATCAAAACTCCAGAAAAAGGACTGAACAAAATGGAGATAAGCAATCTATCAGATGCAGAGTTCAAAACACTGTTTATAAAGATACTCAAGGAACTTCGTAAGGACATCAACAGCATAAAAAGATCCAGTCAGAAATGAAGGATACACTAATTGAGATAAAGAACAATTTACAGGGAAACAACAGTAGAATTGATGAAGAACATAAGGAAGCCAAAAACAAACAATCAGAACCAGAAGAAGAACAAAGAATCTGGAAAAACGAGGATAGTTCTGAAATTCTCAGCATAGGGGGACCAGAAAGAGAAGAGCAAGAAATGATAAATCTATTAGAAAAAAACAATGAGAGCAAACTTCCCTAATTTGGTAAATAGACAGGCAAGTCCCAGAAGCACAGAGAGTCCCAAACAAGATAGATGTTTGGCCCTGCAAGCTACATCAGAATTAAAATGCCAAAGGTTAAAGATAAAGAGAAAATCTTAAAAGCAGCAAGAGGAAAGCAGATAGTTACCTATGAGGGAGTTCCCATGAAACTGTCAGCTGATTTCTCAAAAGAAATTTTGCAGGCTAGAAGGAATTGGCAAGAAATAATCAAAGTGATGAAAAGCAAGGACTACAACCAAGATTACTCTATCTAGCAAAGCTATCCTTTAGAATAGAAGGACAGTTAAAGAGCTTCCCAGACAAGAACTAAAGGAGTTCATTATCACCAAGTCATTATTACAGGAAATGTTAAAGGGACTTATGTAAGGGAAAAAAAGATCAAAACTATGAATCATAAAATGGCAATAAATGCATATTTATCGAAAATTGAATCTAAAAAACAAACTAAGAAAACAATAAGGAGACAGAATCATGGATATGGAGAGCGTTTTCATGGTTGCCAAATGGGAGAGGGGTTTTGGGGGAATGGGTGAAGAGGAGAGGGGATTAAGAAGTATAAATAGGTAGTTACAGAATAGCCATAGGGATGTGATGTATTGTATAAGAAATGGAGTAGCCAAAGTACTTATACACATGACTCATGGACATGAACAGAGGTGTGGAGATTGTCTGAGGGAGTGGGGGTTGTTGGTGGAGGGGGCAAAGGGGAAAATCAGGACAACTGTAATAGCATAATCAATAAAATACAACTTTTAAAAAAAGAAGTAAAAAACATTTGATAGGCTCCTAAAGAACCTCTTGGCAAGGTATGCCAGTAGATATGTACCAAAAAGTTCATAGCAGCATTGTTTGTTATAACAAAACCAAAAATACACATATGCATACCCATAGGAGAATGGAGGATTTTTCGTACACTGGAATACTATGCAACAACAAAAAAAGAAACTAATGGGCAAATCTCACAAATGGAATGTTGAGGAGGAAAAGCAAGTTGCAGAAGCATACAGGGTAATTTTATTTGTATAAAGCATAAAAGTAGTCTAAATTAAATGATTGCTTAAGTGTTCATTCACACATGATAAAATGATAAAGAAAAGCAAGAGAATGCTTAACACAAAAACCAGGATATTGGTTACTTTGGAGATTGTATGGGGTCAGGGATGAAGGGTCTCACAGGGGGCTCTGAAGGCACTGGTGGACACGTAAAGATTTGTTTTATTATTTTTGCATTTAAATTATTAAATGTATGTTATATATAACTTTTTCACATGTATGAGAAATTTGTGAACAAAAAGCCATGCCAACAGCAGCATGCACTCTCCAGGCCTATGGTTACTTCAGCTTGGAATTATAACCCCAGATTTCTTACCTAGTCTTCAAACTGGAACCCCGGTTTCTCTCCCTCCTGTCTGTCTCCCACACGGCTACCAGAGAAGCCTCCCCAAGTTGCATATCTGGTGGCAATGTGACTGGTCTGCTCACATTTTGTGGCTCTCCACTGCCCACCGCGTAAGCCCAAACTCCTCATCTCCACACATTTCTCCTACCTGAATCACCCCTTCCTCCCTTCCTTCTTCTTTAGGCCTATTCCAGGCCTGGGACCTCTGCTTTTCTATCTGAGCCCACTGAATGGCCCCCTTGTACTCCATGCCAGAATTCTGCAAATGTAACAAGGTGAGGTCACAAAGCCCTTAAGAAGGAGAGGCTGTGTCCTCAGAGGTGAGGATTCTGGAAGCTCCTTGGACTGGAGCTCAGCTCAGTGCTCACGGGAGGCTTGGAGGCCATACACCTCTTCTCATCATGGTAAGACTTTCCCACACGGTTCGCAGGCTTGCATGGGATGAAGGGTCTTGGACTTCATCCACATCTGGGACAAGCTTGTCTGCTGTGTCTACAGCTTTTGGAAACCGGAGCAGAAAATGATGGGAAGTGAGCGGGGGATGAGGCAGAGATTGGTGGGAGATGATGTTTCTTAGCCCATTTATATCTTTTCCTCCAAACCTCATCTTCCCTAGAAGGAAGTTTGCACTGAACTGGTGTGAATGGTTCCTATTCTTTGGGTGGAAGGGTGTGTGACTTAATCTGTCCCTCAGAGGAAAGAGCATGGGTTTAAGATTTGATCTGTCTCAGCTTTTGACTGGCTGGGTTATTCCTGTCCCTCTGGGTCCTTACTTCCTAGTGTGGTGGATGTTATGAGCGTCAGCTTGCCCAAGGAAAGGCAGTGGGGACAGTAACATCTACCTGGCCCACTGCATGGGTGGCTGTGGGCCCCAGCGAGGGGGTGGAGGTAAAAGACTTTGAAGAGTGTAAGGCATTGTGCTAGTGTCGCTTACTGTGCCCGGGCTGTTTATATGTTGGTCTGTGGAGACCGTGCCAGAGAGGAAAAGCCGCTGATTTTGTTCCTTGTAGACAGCCCTTCGCATCCAGAGATCTGGCTCCTTCCCTTCAGTTTGTAGGAGGAGCCGAAATCTGGATTCATCTCTTATTGACATTCATCCAGTTAAGGAAGTTTATTCATACTTAGGTTTTTAAAATGTATTTTTAAAATTAGAAAATATTGAATTTTGTTAAAAGCTTTTTGCATTCATTTAGATGGTGTATAAGTGGTGAATGACAATTGATTTCCTAGAGCAGATTTCCTATTCCTCTATGTGGGATAAACTCTATTGTGGTCTTAGTACAAAAACTCAGTTCAGTAGGTTGTTGCCCCGCATTCTTGCCCCTTGTCCTTGAGTTCATGTTACTTCTGGATCTCAGGGCCTGGTGGAACACCCACCGCTATGCCAGCCAAGCTCATTTCATTTTCCCAACAACCTCTGCAGACAGGATACATTACCATCCCCACTTAACAGAGGGAGCAGCAGAGGCCCAGAAAAGTTGATGATCAATGCTCAGTAGCAGGCAGGTGGGTGGGTAGTTGACTGTTTTATCGGCCTCCTTATTTAGTCTCCTCACTTCCCTGATCCTCCCCTCACTCTGCTGCCCCTACCCCCAGTGTGAAGAGACAAAGGTGACCATGCAGAGACACATGCAGAACCTGAGGCACAGCAAGGAAGAGCTGAACAGTCTTAACCAGGCCATCCAGCAGCTGACTGTGGAGGTGGACAGTGCGAAGAGTCGGGTGAGGGGTACCAGGGGTAGGGGACACAGTGGTGACCTTAGGGGTGTGTCCCTTATTTGTGATAACTAGGCTAGAGCCCCCCCCTTTGAAATAGAGTTTCTATTTGTAAATGTCTGAGTAAATAGGAGTGTGGCTGTATGAATGTCATGCTTACATTTGCCTACGACTCCCTGTAGTTCATGTGGATAAGTGATTAGCATGCAGATAAATGTGTTTGAATATGTATGCTTGTTGTATATCATGTTTTTTTAAAAGATTTTATTTATCTTTAGAGGGGAAGGGAAGGAGAGAGGGAGAGAAATATCAATGTATGGTTGCCTCTCGTTCATCCCCTGCTGGGAACTGGCCTGCAACCCAGGCATGTGCCCTGACTGGGAATCAAACCTTGATCCTTTGAGGCCTACGCTCAATCCACTAAGCTACACCAGCCAGGGCCGTATATCGTTTTTTATGTGTATGTACATTTTTATGTCTGTGTGTTTTGTCTTATGTAGCATTAAATTTGAGCTCATCTTCAGAAATTGCAAGATTTTACCTAGAAATCCAGTTTTCTGGGTTCTCTAAAAATGTGCAGATCTGGTGACATTAAACTTTGATTGCACATGGTACCATTTGGCTAGAGGAGAGAGGCCCCTGTCCACCCATGTGGGGATGTGCTCCTTTGCATGCCACAGCGCCCCTCACCTTGGACTGCCTCCTTTGACACCGAGGCAGAAGGTTCTTCACCATTTATCTCCCCTTCCCTGTAGAAGAGGACAGGTGCTGAAGCTACGTCTCTCTCTAAGGCTGAGAAATGAAAGACAGGGAACATGAAAGAGGTCCTGGTGATTTCAGGACAATGAGAGCACGCACACTTCTCTGTGGAACTGGTTACTGTTGCATGTAGTTAACATTCCACCTTTACCTTTTGATGCCTCCAGCCTCACCTCTGTAGGCATTTGTGTTTGCCAGTCAGGCTGCAGGACTGAGAGAGTTCCCACATGAATGCTTTCTTTCTCCTGACTTCTTTCCCTGTGCACCTCCTCTCTTCCAGCATGCGTTCTGCCAAGCCCTCCCAGCTCACACTCCACACTGCCCAGGGAAGAGGTTCTGCTTTGATCTTTTCTTGCTTTTTGCAGAGAGACGTGTCTAGGCTCTGAGGGAGACTTGTGGGGATTCTCCCTCCTCTAAGAACCGATGACTCTGAGGGGACTAGATGGCAGATTCCAGGGGTGCATGGCAGAGTGAGAGGGTAGTCATGTTGGGGTGCAGTTTCCCATCAGCCACAGCTGCTCTGATCCCCTCTGCTGGCTTTCTAAGCAGCAAGCACACCTCCCCAAGGCAAGCAGTTATTATTATTATTTTTCCCCCAAGACTTCAAATTTCAGTATTTTGTGAGAATAGGATAGCCTTCTTGTTAGTTTCCCTGATAAAACAATAATGCCAGCATTTTGAGCCAAGGAGCATTTGAGGCTTTTCACATCTGAGGTCATATTACACTGTACTGGTGTAAAAGGCTTTCTCTCAGCCATCCTACACAATGATCTGTAGTCTTCATTGGCCTTCCATCCTCTGGGAAAGGTCTGAGCCCTTGAGGGGAGATGGGTGAGGACCAAGGATGACCTTCTGTCTGTGGTCTTTCTTTCACCCTCAGCCCTGCAAACTAGAAGGAGCCAAGCACCCACCAGCTCTGCAGGAGCAGGGTGCCTCAGGCAGTGCCAAGGGCAAGCTGGCCTCACTGGAGGCTGCTCTGCAACGGGCCAAGCAGGACATGGTGCGACAGCTTCGGGAGTACCAGGAGCTAATGATAGTCAAGCTGGGCCTGGACTTTGAGATCGCCACCTACCGCAAGCTGCTGGAGGATGAGCAGAGCAGGTGAGGGGTGCTTCAGATATAGCAAGCATACAGATGGGGTGTCGTGGGGGGTCATCACCTGGGTACTCAGCAAATGAGGACGGGGTGGGAAAAGGTGACCTGAATATCCAAGAACTTGTTTTCCTAGGGCCAATTTGTTCCCAATATTCAACAGCCCCGTAGACAAAGGCCCTAGCCAATGGACAACTCATAAAGCCATTCATCCCCAGGATCAGACAGAAGGGGCGAGTTTGCTCAGCTAGGGGGAGTAAGGTCTCATTGTGAAGTGCCTCCTTCTCAGCTCTGCCCCCTTCCTGAGACCTGGGGAAGGCAGTGTTTGTGGCAATAAGTAGGGCCTGGCTTTTACCCTTAGGCAGCAGTAGGGACTCAAGGACTGCCAGCTCCATCTGATTGGGGACACAAGGCTTAGGGGAGGGGGAGGGAATCTACCATGTGGCAAGCATGCTACATTTATTATCTCCTTTAAGCCCACAGAAACCCTGGGAGAATGTTTCTATCCCAATTTCACAGATGAGGAAACTGAGTCTTAGAAAGGGCAAAAGGATGACTTCAGGGATGCACAGGTAGAAAGGGATTAAGTGCGGCTTGAACAATATCCTTCAGATAATTGAGCCGTCTTCTCTATGGTCTCCTTTAAAATGCATCCCCACCCATGGTCTCCCCTTTCAAGACATTTAGGCTCCAAAAAAAGTGTATATCTCTTGCCTTCTTCCTCTTCCAAGAAGTCATCAGTATAAAAGCGAGTTATTTAAATTTACTCAGAAGTCTGTGGGGATCTGAGAGAACCAAAGAGCTTGCAGAATGGAATGATTTCTGCCTTCCTGGAGAGGGCCAGGCGTGTTTTGTCTTAGCGAATGGAGCGGGTTACAGCAGGGAGATAGAGACACTTCACCGTTTCCTCCTCCCTGCAGGCTTGGCCTAAGACTGGGAGCAGGGAGCCTCAGTAAGTACATAATAGGCATAACTTAGGGTAGAGGGCCCAAATCTTATTCCCCCTCCTCGTGTGTATCCTCTTAGGAAGGGAGAAGGGGTCTGCTTCCTCTGCCTCCCTTTGCCAGGGGCTATTTCTTCTCTTGGGGGTCTTTGTGTTTGCGTGTGTTGGGGGGAGGGGGTCCTATGGTCTGCCCTTTGTGGGGAGGTTCTGTTGGTTTTGCCTGGTGTGTAGAAAGAAGTTCTGTGGATTTATCCTCGTGGAGAAGACCGTTTTAGTCATGGGTGGGAGGAATCTGTGTCTGACTTCAGGGAGGGACAGATTCTCCAGTCTGTTTCTGGGGCGAAAGCAGTCTGTATCTATTCTTTTGGGGATTTTGCACGACTGTCTCTGAGTGGGGAGGGTCTGTGCATTGCTTCCTGGTCGAGCTGTTTGTGTGTCGGTCTTCTGGGGTGGAGGGAGGGAAGGGGATAGCCTCCCCTCCAGCAGCTGCTCTCTGCTCAGCCCAGGGCGGTGATCCCACCAGCCGGCCAGGCTCCGCCTTGGGCTCCGCTAGCCTACTGCCGCCACCAGCGGGTTCCGACACCCTGGATGCGAGCGCCCCTGGCGACGGCTGTGCGCTCTGCAGCTCCTCCGGCTGTGTCGGGGATTTCAGCAGCAGAGGCTTCCGCGGATGTTGAACACTTTCCGCCCCGCACAGAAGTCAAAAACCCCTACATTTTGCCCCAAAGACTTGGTCTCAGATGCCCCTCCCATGGATCTGGCCCTCATCTCACCTCTCCCTCCTGCCCCTCACCTTAGAGCATAAAGCCTCTGAATGTATTTTGCCCCTCTGAACTACCCCCACTCCTCTTTTCCTGGGACCCCTCTTTCACAATAAAAATGTTCTGCAGTGGGCTGAGCCGCCAGGCTCTTTGCATCTGGATTCTTGGGGCTATTCCTAGAATGAAGACAAAACTGCCCAGATTTGGGGTTGGGGGCACTACCAAGAAGCAACGGTCCTAGTTCTACTTGGCAGAGGGGCTGAAAACTGCATTCATTCATCCACTCACTCACTCTACGAACACTGAATGTCCTCAGAAGGCCAGACATGGTGTTTGGTAAGCAAGACAACCTCTAGTCCTAGCTCTTTGGAGACGACATTCTGGTGGGGAGGCAGGCCACAAACACGGAAACAGACCAGAAAGAGAACAGAGTGGGAGAGGGATGAGGACGAGCCTTCGACTGCCCAGGCAGGGGCACTTGAAGGCGGGCCCACGGGGAGATGGCCATCGCAGACTGGGGCTGGGGGTATGAGCACAACTGGGTGGCTCAGGCCGGGGTTCTAGTTTAACAACTGATCTAATGGTGGGCTGGGGGCAACATAGTATGGTGGGGAAAAGCTTGTCTATGGAATCAGACCCAGGCTCCAGTTCTGCCTCTACTCCAGGTCTGTATTGTGGTTTATTTACTTATTTTTTCACAGGGTAACTGGACTTTAGGGGGCAGAAGATAGGCCAGTTTGGGGTGGGGTGGCCAGTGAAGTTTGGGGTTTCTGAGCTCTTTTCTTGCCACAGAGCCTGAGAGATGCCTCCATTCACAAAGCTCACATTCTTTTCTATTGCACAAAGGTTACATTACCAACGCATCTGGGGAACAAAGGTTCCTGCTCTCTAAGTCCCTGGGTAAGGCTAAGGTGCAGGATTGGCCAGAGGCTCTGGCTTTACCTTTTAAGGTGTACCAGTGCCAAGGTGTCTGCTGTGTTTTCCTGGGTCCCTGCCCAAAAGTATCTGAATGGCTCCCTTCCTGGTTAAACAGAGCACTCTCATGCTAGAGGAATGGGATGGAAACTTGTCTGGCAGGCTGCCACCCACCTGAAGGGTAGGAGACCTGGCCTCACCGGACTCTGGCATCAGCCCCGTTTGATCCAAACTTACTGACACTAACTATGTAAACGTTCTTACCAACACTCCCAGTGCAGGGCAGCTCCTGAAAGCAGAGCTTGCCCTTCTGCAAGACTTTTTGGTTGGGCTCTGTGTTCCCCGCATTTTGCTAGGTAATGACATTCTGTGATCTTCAAGGTGAGGTTTTATTTAGCTCTGGCTGTGCTGATCGTTTGTGGGAAACACAGAAGGGAACAGCCCCAAGAGCCTTCTGCAGCCCGCATCGCAGAGGACCGGTTGTTGCCTGTGATTTTCCCTTTCTAAATTCCAAGCCTGACATCAGTCCAGGAGATACCAGGGGCTGCAGGGGCAGGTTTGAGTCTCTTGCTGAGCCAGGGCCACGTGGGCCACCAGCAATGTTTGCAGTTTGGGGACTGATTCTTTGAGCAGGCTCCCTGGCCATGGGCCACATTCCAGGCTGGGGTGGGAGAGAATTACTTGTATATTTATGGAGAGTCATTCACCAGCCCATTTATCACCTTTATGAGTTGGGGTGACTTCTGAAGGGAGGAGGGTGGTCACCAGTGCAGTCATCGCTTTGGGGACCTCCAGGGGTCAGCCCTCTGTTGGCTTTGGATGTCTGTCTCACACTTAATTATACTTAAAGATGTCAGATGCAACTTGGCTATGTGAGTGTCTGTGTGGGAGCCTCAGGGCTGGACTCTTGACAGGGCCTGCTGGGCTGAGTGGTGTCGCAGCGTAGAGGGCTGGTTAGGACAAAGGCATGCTCTGGAACTCCCCCAGGGCTCTGCCCTGCTCAGAATTCCGTCAGGAGGGTAGAGGAGCCACACTGGTGGCCAGGACGCCCGGGACGGATGCCATTCCTTAAAAGAGCCTTTTTGTTTTCTCGCAAACAAAATATAACCAGAGACATCGAAGTTAAGAACAATCTAACAACAGCCAGCTCGCTTCTGGTCTGTCACACGTTTTAGTAATAATTTCTGTTGCCCTGAGGGATGGGGGCTAACATTTCTGCTACGGGGGGCTAAGTTTTCTGGGCCTGGGACTGAAAATTTAGTGATTCACCCTGCTGTACAGATAATATGTTCAGGGACTCGCCTGGATCCATAGTGAAGCTAAGGGGCTGTCTCTCCACTCACATCATCACTTCGGTGAGATCCTCATCAGCGAGAGTGGGAGTGTGGAGGAGGACATTTCCCTGAATGAAGGAGCTCAACGACTTTGGAAGACATTGAGATTTCTCTCTGCACTTGCCATCTCTGATCACAGATACAAGTGCAATGAGAGGCTGGCCATGGCTCTGATTTCTGGAGGGGCATCTGCTTTACATTCTGAAAAAACCCCAAACCAAAACCAAAACTAATGATAAACACACCAGGATGATTTCGTGTCAGGCACTGTCTGAGCATTTTACGGGTATGAAATTCTGTGCTCCATCAACCCCGAGGTAGGTGCTCTTTTTGTCATTCTCACTAGAGATGTGGACACCGAGGCACAGAGAGGGTGAGTAAGTTGTCCCAGGTCACTCAGTGAGGAAGGGACAGAGCCCAGTTCGGGGCCCAGGCAGTCTGGCCCCAGCGTCTGGGTGCTCACCTCTCTGCCGCATCATCTTGTTAGGTGCGATTTTCTGCTTTTGAGGTGATTTGTCAGCTATGGCAGGTTGCCAAACCTCAAAGGGACTCCATTAAAAAACAGGTCACCATATCAAAGGCTTTTTGAAAGTTTAAGTCATGTTCATGTATTCACCCCTTAAAGAATTCTAATAAATCGCTGAGGCATGAGTCTTCCCCGCTACAGCAATGGGGAATTTTCCTTAAGCGTTGAGTGATTGGAGAGCCTCATTTTCATGATCCATCTGTTCCGAGGGGTGCACAGGGATTTTTTTCTGGGGGGAAGCTGTGGTTTGGTAAAATGAGCACTAGAGATGCACACGGGTTCAATCCCCAGCCCTGCCACTGAACTCAGTGTGGAGCCCCATTACTGAGCATCTTTGAGCGTTGGTTTCTTCATCTTCAAGGTGTACCATAAAAGGTGGTGTGGACAAAATCAGTAAGGTTGTGTGAGTTACGTTGTGTGGGGGCCTAGCACAATCCTTGGCTAAATCTGAGACTGCTGTGAGCCCAGGGACAGACGACTGTTCCAGAACCCCAGACTAGGTCTTTTTCTGCTCCATGTTGCTTTTGAGACCTTCCCAAACCCCAGCCCTTTATGGGACAACAGAGCTGGAGACCAAGGCCCATTGTTGGCTACATTGATTTATTGGAAGCACAGGTCAAGACAGAGGTGAACAGAAGAGGAAGGGGAGAGAGAGGCTGGGGGACTCTGGCCACCGGCCCCATGGCAGCCCAGGATAGGGCCCTGGTCCTAGTCCTTCCTGCCATGGAACCTCCTTCCCAGGGCACTGTGGGGACTTCTTTCTGGGGTAGCCTTTCCCAGCGCAGGGTGGGGTGAGTAGGTGTGAGAGGGCAGGATCAAGGAAGAGGGGACCACAGATACATATGAGTCTAGGAGCAGGATGGACCTTTCAAAGTGCAGAAGTGACCCAGTGCTTGCTCTGCCCCAGGGCTGGACCAGGCCCTACTGGGTGGGAGAGAAGCAAGGTTGGGGCTTGAGTTGGGGCGCCTAACACTTGCGGCAGCTGCTGGCACAGGAGCCCACGCCGTAGGAGCTGATGCCGCAGGAGCCCACGCCGCAGGTGCCCAGGCCACAAGATGTGATGGAATTGCAGGGGCCGCAGGGCGCACACATTCCTGTGCTCACCGCCAGGTTCCCACTGCAGGGGGCGCTGCAGGCACTACCTGTCACCGGCCTGGAACCCGACGTGCAGAGGTCGCCACAGACAACTCCACCCCGGGAGCTGCTGACACCTGCCAACCACAAAGTCTGAGTCAAAATTCTGAGGCGAGTTATCCCCAAACAATGCCCCTCCCCAAGTATCTCTACTTGACAACTCTAGGTCCTCCAGTCCCACAGCTGCGGTCTTTCTGCTGTCTGACCGCAACCTCTCCTGCTGGGAGGCCAACCCTTCCTTCTCTAGGTAGATCCCAGTGAAATCCCTCCTTCTGGACTCTGTCCTCCCTTCCAGGGAGGTACATCCACCCACTCAGGGCCTATGTCACTTACAAACATTCACAGCACCAACACCTTCACACAGTCTGAGAAGAAAGAAGAAAGGGGACGATTAGCGACTCGGCCAGACTAGCAGACAGAGCTCCACAAATTTGAGGGGTAGGTCCACAAGTCAGGAAGAGACAAGCAGAGGTCTCAGGGAAGCCCTCCTAAATTGACCCCACCCCCAAAGTGATAAAACACAGGTTTTCCCCAGACTCCTGCACCTTGCTCAGCTCTGAGAAAAGGTGGTCTTTGTTTATGGAGAAAAATGGCAGGTTAGCCAGGTAGGGTCCCACCTGCACTCCTCGCCCTCCAGCAGGCGCCTGTAGGTGGCGATCTCGATGTCCAGGCCCAGCTTGGAGTTCATCACCTCCTGGTACTCCTTGAGCAGGCAGGCCATGTCCTGCTTGGCCTTCTGCAGGGCGGCCTCCAGCTCGGCCAGCTTGCAGCGGGCGTCGCTGACGGCCGTCTCGCCCTGCTGCTCTGCCTGGGTCACTGCAGTCTCCAGCTTGGTGTTCTGGGGACCCAGAAGGGAACAAGGAGGGTTAGGGTTCCCAGATCTCTCGGCCTATTTCCTTGGGTGTGTCATTCCTCTAACCCTGTTGGGATCATACCAGGAACAGGCCTCTCACCTTCATCGCTTGGGTCCCTCTGAGTGACCACAACCCATGACCCTAGTCACGTAAATGGGCTGGAGAATAAATGGTGAGATCCAGATGGAACACACATGGGCTGTGAGGCCCTGGCTAGGCCCCCAGCCTGTGTGGTGATGGAGGGCACAGGGGACCCGTACCTGGCACTTGGCGTTCTCAACCTCGGCTGTCAGCCTCTGGATCATGCGGTTCAGCTCGTTGATCTCTTCCTTGGTGCGGCGCAGGGTCTCCCCATGACGGATCACCGTGGCCTTCATCTCCTCGCACTGGGGGGAAGCAGAGACTCAGGACGGCGTGTCCCACCCACTCGGGACACCACAAGTGACTGTGCGGGTTGTACAGCTCTCAGCCTGTGCAACCTTCCATGGCAGCCCTGCTCTGCCACCTCAGCCCGAGAGCTCTCTGCCCTTCTGTTACCACCCCCAGGGACCAGGATCCGCACACAAAAGAAGCCTCTTCTCATATTTACATCCAATCCCTCCTGGTGCCATGACCAGGAGGCAGGGGTGTTGGGCATTCACCTTGCTGCGGTACCAGGACTCGGCCTCCGCCCGGCTGCGGCTGGCAATGTCGTCATACTGAGCCTTGATCTCGGCAATGACGCAGTCCATGTTCAGGTCCCGGCTGTTGTCCATCTTGACGACCACTGAGGTGTCTGAGATGTGGGCGTGGAGGACGCGGATCTCCTGGGGAGATGAGAGGAGGAAGCATCCTGTTTGTGCCTCAGCCTCACACAGCCTAGCATGTACCCAGCCTTCTCAGCTCTCCCCTGGCCTCCAGCCCCCTCATCCTCCTGGACTGCAGCCTCGTGCCCAAGTCCCTGTCCTCCTCCTGTCTCAGGCCAAAGCCCTCTCCCCCAGGCCAGCTGCCAGCTTTCTGCCCAGACCACAACCCCCTCACCTCCTCATACAGTCGCCTCAGGAAGTCGATCTCCTGGGTCAGGGCCTCTGCGTTGGCCTCCAGGTCCGACTTGCGGAGGTAGGCGCAGTCCACGTCCTGGGGAGGTGGGCAGTCTTTGAGCTCAGAGGACCCCTGGTGATCGTCACCCCAACCTCCTCTCTCTCCTCACCCATGCATGGAGGCAGGCTGGGGGAAGCATTCCCAGTGTTTCCATTCCCTTCCCATCTCCACACCCTCTCACCTCCCTGGGATGGGCCTCACAACCCCCTCCCCATCTGAGAACAAACCCCTTTGTGCCTTGAAGATGCCTTTGTGCCACCAGCCTTTCCACCTCCCAACTGACACAGCTTACCTCCCATTTCTCCTTTGACTCATCCTGTTCCAGGGCACCTGCCCACACTCACTCCCCACTCAGCCATCCTAACCCCTCCCTTTACCCCTACTCTGCTCCCAGACTCCACTGGGCCACTCCTGCTTCTGTTCCTTCCTCCCCCACACTCTGGGTCTCTGCCCCTCCTTTTGCTCAGACATCCCACAGCCCTAGACAGGACAGTGTCCCTCAAGAGACTGAAGATGCCAGGCCTCCATGGGACCCACAGACCACAGCCTCTGAGGCAGAGCAGGACATCCACAGGCCAACCCAGCCATCCCCCTGCCCAGGACAGGGTGCTAGAGGATAGTGCAAGGTCATTGTCCTTTGTTAAAGCTCTGGATGTGTTTTCCTTGACCTGATTGATCTCTGGGAACCCGCCCCCCACCTGATCTGGCAAGGTCACTGCATCACGCACAGAGCAGTCGAGAATCCCTGGGTCTTTCCAAGGACAGTCTGTCATTCTGAGGTCCCTTGGGCCTCTACTCCTGGACACCACGTTACTCACCTTCTTCAGAGCCACAAACTCATTCTCGGCTGTTGCTCTCAGAGACACTTCCTCCTCATACCTGAGGCAGAGGAGGCAGAGAGGGAGGTCAGGGAAGGGCAGGTCTCCCACCAGACCCCTCTACTTCAGACCAGGGAAGGGGACAACGTGAGGAAGTGACAACCACAACTGGACCCCTGGCAGCCCCGTGGGGTCCTTTTGCTTTGATTTGGGATGTTTGCACTTTGAACTGAGGAGCCATGGGGTTAATCTTCTGGGACCTCATAGCCCTGTGTCCCCAAGCTGCTCTGAAGTGATCTCTGGAGGGAAAGAAGACCTCAGTGCACTGCCCCATGCTAGGAGTGGACAACATGCACTCTGGGTTGCTGCAGCCCCTGCCTCCCCTCCCCTGGGTGGCCATCCTAGCTCAGGTGAGGGGCCTTCAAGTCCTAGAGGCCATCAGCACTGAACACCCTGGGCAATAGGACACCCAGAGCCCCAGGACATGGCAGCCCTGATGACACTGGGGTTCATTCATATCACATTTGTGATCCATGGCTATAGGTGGGAGGTGAGGTATAGAAGCCTGGAAGACAGCAGAGGCCCCCTCCCCACAGAGCAGACGTGACAGCTGCTGGGTTACTAGGCTCAGGAAGAGAAGGCTGAAGGAGGGGAGAGATCTCCCAGGGGAATCACAGCCCTACTCTTAGATGGGCCTCTGGACAGCCACTGCTCAGGTGAGAGGATCCTGCTGCACACGCCACCCTGGCCTGCAGCGCTGCTCACCCTACTCGGAAGTTCTTCTCACGTCTAGTCCAATGGGCTTTAAGCTCAGTCATTTCCTGTGCCCAGCGTCAAACCCAGCCACACTCCACTCACTTCTTCTTGTAGCCCTCCATCACCTCCTGCACGTGGTTGAGCTCTGAGGCCAGCCTCCCGCTGTCGGCCTCTGCACACTCGGCCTCCCTTCTCAGCGTCTCGACGTAGCCCTCAAACAGGGGCTCCAGGTTGCTCTCACAGCACTTGCGGTTCTGGTAGAACTGCCACTTGGTCTCCAGCAGCTTGTTCTGCTGCTCCAGGAAGCGCACCTGCCATTTGGGTTTGCAAGATGGGTGAGATGTCTCTTGGTGCCTGAAAGCCAATCTGGGGGGTCCTTTACATAAATTTCCAAGGCTAGAGCTCAGTAGAGCTTAGATAGGGTTGCAGGAAAGACAAGGCAAGTTCTAGATTTCCTGATATAATCCATATCTGGTTTTCCATTTTAGGCATGGGAACTAGGAGCTTGGAAAGGTCAGTTCCTGCCCCAGGTGAACTGAGTTATCTGACCTGATAAGTCCAGGTGGCCTGTAGTCAGGTTGTTTTGCTTTTGATTCTCCCCTCAGTGGCTCTCCTGAGTCGTGAGCATGGGTGAGTTTCAGGAACAGTATGATCAAAGACACCTTTCAAAAGGATGTTCCTGTGGTCCTGCTCCTATTTCTTATGTGCATTAATTGTGTCTTGTGTGCATGTACAGCCTCCTTTCTCTGATTTGGCTTGAAGCCTTGTCCTTGTCTCTCTGTGAGGACTCTGCCTGTGTGAACAAAGGATATATATATAGATGCACATATGCATCTATATATGTATAATGTATACAATATAGGATATTATATATATAATCAAATCAGGTGCTCCTTCTCCCCCCATACACATCTCCCTGTGCCTGTCTTTGTCCTGGATGTGTGTCCTGTCCTCATCAAACTGGGAGCTCACCTGGACCACATCATCTCTCTTGCCTTGCCCTGTCTATCCTTTAAGTGCCTTGCAAACGAAGTGAAAGTTCAGGAAAGGGCTGATCAAGAACACACACCTTGTCAATGAAGGCAGCGAACCTGCTGTTGAGACACTTGATCTGCTCCTTCTCCTCATGCTTCACACACTGCGCATTGGGGTCAATCTCCAGGTTGAGGGGCGTGAGGAGACTCTCGTTGACCGACACGGTGGTGATGCAGGGCGGGCTGGGTCCGCACACGCCCCCAGAGCGGTATCCGAAGCTGCGGCCGCAGGAGCCAGAGAGGAAGCCCCCGCAGAGGCTCTGGCTGCCAAAGCCCCCAGTGAGGCCTCGGTAGCAGGAGACTCCGCGGTAGGGGGCGGCCGTGATGCAGCAGCGGCCGGGCCGGGGCCCGCAGGCCGAGGCGCAGCTGAAGGTCTGGCCGCAGAATGCTGATCCACAGGTCATGGTGCTCTTGGAGGTTTGGGTTGCAGAGTAGAGGAGATGAGATCTGGAGTCTTGGTGGAAACTCCAATGTGTTCCTCAAGGCGCCCCAGTCCTATTTATGCTCGGATGGGAAGGGGCTTGGCTATGCAGATGGAGTCGGTGCAATTTGTGCTTTATGAGCTTGGGCGGTTAGTGCAGTCCAACCCCTCTGTAGAATGTGCTTTAGTGGTGGAGTGGTTTGAACCCGCCTCTGTGTAAAGGATGCCAGTCTCTGGGCCATAGGGGGACTCAGCACGTCTCATCTTCAAAGTGCCAGCCAGCAGGGCATGCACTCATCTCTGGGCACTGAGCAGAGAAGGGCAGGGGAAGGGAGGGGAGAATAGGCTCAGGAGAAGAGGACGAGAAGAGAGGCCAGATGTTGGGAGAAGCAGGGAGGAGGGGCCTGCGCGTGTGTTGGGGAGTGAGTGCCGGGAGAGTCTGAGGTCTAAATTCCATTCCAGGAGTGGCCAAAGTGCCACCAAATCACAACTCTGGATTTTTTTCCTCTCTGGATGGTCCGGTGGGCCACTGGAAACATCTGATTTTTCTTACCATGGCAGCAGATACTGCATTATTATATATTTGATGTCTCTTTCAAAAAAGATTTTATTTATTTTTAGAGAGAGAGGAAGGGAGGGAGAAAGCGAGGGAGAGAAATATCAGTGTGTGGTTCCATCTCACTCGCCCCCTACTGGGGACCTGGTCTGTAACCCAGGCATGTATCCCGACTGGGAATTGAACCGGCCACCCTTTGGTTTGCAGGTCAGCACTCAGTCCACTGAGCTACACCAGCTAGGGCATATTTGATGTCTTTTTCAGCTTTTTAATGAAAGTTTCCAAACATACAGACAAGTTGAAAGATTAGTATAACAAACATCCTGGATGCTTCACCTACATAGCTAGATTTGTAGATGTTAACATTGTGTTGTATTCCCCTCTGCATTGGTCTAATTACTTGACAGTTACGGGCAGCATGGCACGTCACCCTTACACGTTTCGGCCTGCATTTCTTAACACTAAAGACCGGACCGTTTTCACATTCAAGAGAACAAACAACAATCCAAAGAGTCATTAACTACCCATTCCATTTCAGTTTTCCCAACTGTCCCCCCCAATTTTTTAAATGGTTTAATGTGGTTTAACTTGTGGCCACAGCCCCTGCATTTTCTATAACCTGGAAGTTTACTCTGGAGCTGGGCTGTTCAGTATGACGGCCCATAGGCTCATGTGGCTAAATTAGTTGATAATAAATGAATTCAAAATTGAAAATTTCAGTTGTACTAACCACATATCACACAGGACTAGTGGCTACGTTACTTATTGGACAGTGTAGATAAGAGACATTTCCACAATCACACCAGGATCTATTGGATCACACTGGTCTAGAGGCTTGATTGGGTTTAACGGAAACATTTTGGGGCAGAATACTTCATAAATGATGCTGTACAACTCTTACTGTATCACCCGAGAAGCACAAAGTGTCCGGTCGTTCTGTTACTGGTAATGCTAAATCAGATCACTTCAGTACATTTTCCCCTTTACAATCAGAAAGTACTCTGTAGAGACATATTTTGATTAGAGGATATTTTCTTTTTATTAGTCATCTGCCATCATTACATGCTATAAATGATCTCTAATTCTCCCAATCATTTGAAGTAGGCACCATTATCCCCATTTTACAGATGAGAAAACTGAGGCTCAGAGAGACTAAATAACTTGCTGAAAGTCTCCAGCTTGCCAGTAGAGGAGCTCAGGAGATATCGTGCCTTCTTACCTACAAGCTGTGACAACCCTGGGTTGCCTAATAGCTGGAAAATCGGGAGGGTGGAGAGAGTTGCTCAGGAGGGGATATCTGTGGGTTCAGGGTTGGGGAGTCAGTCTAAGGAAGATGGGCAGAGTCAGTGGGGCAGGAATGGTTAGAACCAGGAGGGGAAATGGGGTGCAAATGTGGCATAAGGGCCATATGAGGCTGGGTGCTGGGAAGGGGCATGCATTAGATCTCCAGGATCCTTTGCCAAAGAACTGAAGGGAGGGGTAGAAAGCAATACTTTAAATTATCTGTATAGTTACAGTGTGTTGGAAGTAATCATGATAGAGCATGCTGTGTTCTACTTATCCGTGAAGCACCCTGCTCTGACAGAGCAGCTCTAGAAAAATTATCTCATAAAGTAAGAGGTTTTCGTAAGTGGGAGGGATGAAAGGGGAAGTGAAATGACTTGCCTGGCAGCCCCCGTAGCTGCTGGGCCTTTGCAAGAGGGCAGAGGTAGGCAGAGCAGCTGAGGGGGAACAAGTGGGGGAGGGGTTGATGGGAAAAGAGAAGAAAGGAGACGAAGAGAAGAAAACAGGGTTTGCCGGGAGTTGGGCTCTGGGTGTCCGTGCAAACCATTCAGGAGTGGGGCCTTGTGACACGGCAGACATGGGGTAACAGCCTGTGTCAGTCATTCGGTCACCCCAGAGGAGGGTGTGGCACCTGCTGTCACTTTATGTGTTTGGGGAGCTGGCCAGCACTTCTGAGGCCTTTATAACCTCCATTGCAATCTTGGACACTGCCCACAGTGAGCAGTGGTGCTCCCAGCAAGCCAGCTGGCGGGGTGTCCCCAGAAGTACAGTGAGTCAGGGTGCACTTCACACTCACTTTACCTTTTCCGCCAGTATAACTCCTTATAAAAATAACATGCATAAACATGAGCCAATTACTAATGGCTGATCCTTGCCAAGCAATTCTTAAAAAGCAAGAATAAGTTTAAAATCAGAAAAAATGCAAACGTGACATCATTTTGTTACATTCAGACATTACTAGTTGTTGCTAATTTTTGAAGACCTAAAGGGACATTCAACCTGCATGTTTCCTTTGAGTGAACAACTTTTTTTGGGAGGGGTGGTTGGCAGAGTCATCACTCTATTGTCTTGACTCTGGCAACGTGAGCTTTATGAAATTAAAGTGGTTTTTATTGTGAAATATGTCACACACACAAAAGACTGTATAGGTGGAAGAATGAGAACAGATATGTAATTTAGCGCCTCCCTCTGAGCCTCACTGATTGTGTCCCCTTCCTGCCTGGCCCAGGGATGGTTCTTCTCTGGGATTTTGTGTTAAATTATTCCTTCGCTTTTCTGTACAGTTTCACTACTGAACCATAGATTACTTAATTTTCTAGTTTTTAAACATCATATGAATGGGATCATATTGCATGTATTCTTCCATGTCTGTTTTTTTTGTTGTTATTCAGCGCTCCTTCCTGTAGCTCTATGGCATTCATTTCACTGTGGATTGTGCTCATTTTACTCACCTTTCTATGCTGATGGTCTCATGGTTGTTTCTGGAGCTTGTATTCTGAACATAGCTGCCATGAACACTCTTTCCTATGTCTTCTAGTATAATTGTGCGAGAATTTTCCTGGGGTATATGGTTATTAAAAAGAACTATGAAGTAGTACATACTTGGTGTAGAAACTATTTTATGAAATAGTTTCATAACCTAAAAGATAGTTCCAAACCTAAAAGATAATAACATCTCTTGTGCGTCTTGCTTCATAGTAGATACTATACTAAGAGTCCAACACTCATTCATGCATTTGATTTTTACACTGGCCCTCTGAGGCAGGTGTGTTACTCTAGCTTTACAGAGGAGGACACTGAGGCCGAGGGAGGTGAAAAGACTGGCTCTGGTTGTGTGGTTAGTGGCTGAGCTGGAACTCAGAACCTGGTGTGTTTGGACCTGACGAAGAGATGAGTTTATCTCGTTGCACTCCCATCGACCCACCACCCACCATCATTAAAAGTATCAAACAGTAGATGGTGTTTGCATATAACATGTTCACATGCACACACACATACACACACACACGCACACGCACACGCACACACACACACACTCACTAATCCCCTCCTTCCAGTGCCCTTTTCTGGGACCTTTGGAGTGTTCTCAGGGTTTAGGACCAGAGCAAGGAGGGGTGCTCACCTATTTTTGTGGTGAGTTTCCAGTTTTAAGAAAAAAGTTGGATATATACCCAGATTATGAACAAAAATTCAAACCTGGCAACACACCAGTGGGTACAGATATTTGGTTCATGGATATATTCCAAGGTCTTGACATATAGTAGGTGCTCAATAAATATTTGTTGAATGAATGAAATGAATACCAGCTGCATATTAAGTGCTGAGTAATGGAGCCATCAAAGCTTGGTGGTTAATTGTATAAAGCTTTCTGGTAGGATGGGTTGGGGACCAGGTGAAGCAGACCAGAGGGCCGTCATTCCTGGGGTTGGGGGTGGGGTGGGGAGACATTTCTGGATGGGGCCTCGCGGAGGAGTAAAGTGAGTAGATGTGTCTTTAGCCAGAGCAAAATCCTTAACCTGAGCTATGATGGGGGTGACAGAAAAGGCAGTCAACAAGGGCAAGGATCCAGAAGGCATCGGAGTAGTGTAGAGACTAGTGGTAGAGTTTGGGAAGGAAAGTGAGAAGTAGACTTTCAGGAAAAAGAGGGAGAAGATGCTTGGTTATCTTAGCTTATTACTCTCCAGGGCCACTCGGACAAAGGACAGAGATTGGCTGGGTGGCAAGGTGGATGGCAGATAGGGGAGCTTTGGGTAGAAAGAGAGAAGAGGAGGAAAGTGGAGGAACAATGGGAAAAAACCCAGGGGAAAATGGTGAGGGGACACTTTCGGGTTGAAAGAGCATATGAGAGAAGGGTGCTGCATCTACCTGGAGAGGTGGGCAACCTCGGCCTCAGCTTTATAACATTGAATCTCTGCAGGGCAGGGACCTGGGACAGGGAACTGGCAGGGGCTTAGCCTGGTTAACGGGACAGACCTCACCAATGGCAGAACTCCTGAGTTAAGCTTAACTTCCCCTAGGATCCCCACAAGGGTCTTTGGCCCCTTGTCCTCTCACAGATAATTGGCCACTGTCCCAGGCATGTTGGCTGAGGAGGCCAGGCTCTGACTTGGGCCTTTCATTAACTCACCAACCCAAGTGCCCTG